ATATATATATATATATATATATATATATATATATATATATATATATATATATATATATATCTTTTCATTGTCAGTTAGGCAAGAAAGTAATATCTTATATTAAAAAAATCAATCATTTATGATCCTTCAAAATCAAATGTATTTTTTTGTTAAGCACAAAATATTCTTAATAAAAGAATTTTCAAATATCTCTGATTATGCAATAAAAATAATTCGCCAATGTGTTTTTGTTATATAAAGTCTACCAGAGTAACTTTTGAAGCTCTAGTGGAGACATAGTACGGATTAAAGTGAACATAAAAGCTCTATTTGCGATAATAATAATACGTGAACTATAGATTTATTAGAGTAAAATTGTCCTCGAAAAAAGATATTTTGGAATGCAACCACATATACAAGCACACGATGGTAGACGTCGCCATTGCAGCTCATCTACTATGTCTCGTGTACAGATGCTATTCCATTGGGGATTAATCATGAATCTTTCACGTGAATTTTATGTGTACTTTTCACAATTTCACTTAAGGGCGAGAGTCATGTAAACGGCCATTTTTTCAAGATTTTTTTTTGAAAAAATGGAAAAGTTTATGAAATCGATATAAAGCATATTGTAATATATAGGATTTAAGGTATATTATATATTTTTTTCATGTAAAAATATTTCAAAATGGCGGCGCAGCAGCTGCTTGAAGTGGGCTCCTACAATTTGCGCCGTGCAATGCCCAGCTCACTCTAACTAAAATAAAAAAACCAAAGTTTTTTCGTTAAAATATGTTAATACGCTTTGCATGACAGTCGATTTAAAAAAAAAATTAAAAATTCAGGACAATTTTGAAAAAAAATAACTTTTTTGTTACAAACAAATGGTAAAAACAATATTTATTATTGAATTTTTTATAAAATTTTAGTGTCATGCAAAGGCCAATAAGTCAAAGAATATGTGTGCAAAATTTCATTAAAATCGGTTGAAAATTCTTTGAGCTACATTGCATGGTGCGCGAAATTTTACGTTTTGAAAAAAACGCGTTTAAAGTTTTCGATAGAGAAAAGTAGTGTTTAAGGGGATTTACGACTATATAAGCTTAGTCTGCGATGCCAGGGCCGTAAAGTATGCCTTCCTCTTCTGCAAATGCATCCATTTGAGCCGCTGCTTCCTGTTTTTTAGCTGTCCTGGACTCTTTTGACCTGCTTTGGCTACAGCGCTCCTGTCTTTCCACTCGGTTTTTGTTGTACACGTCAGCGAATGTTTTACATTGAAAACCGATTTGTAGTTCCAAATCTGTCATTACTTGTAGAATGAATGTGTAGCCATCGTTAAACATGCCTCCGGCTAAATAAGCAGCAATCTCAACGATTTTCCAGCAGTTTACGTGCTTGGAAGCCAAGTGCCATACGGTCGCATTAAAAGATTCATTTGCGTTTTGCGTATAGCCACCCAAGCATCTCTCAAGCAAGTCATCACGGGATAAATCCTCGTAAATTGGCAGTATCTGCTTTTTCACATCAGGATGTAATGGAGGAGCATGAGTATAAGCTTATGCTGCATTTTCAGCTTCGGCGACGCGATACGTACACCACGAGTCGGCGCCCGGGGGACTGCGGCTCTTGATCGGTTGATATTAAATGGAAATAAGTTAGGTTGCTTTTTTCACGTCATTCTGTGAGTGCGCATTCCTTCGAATGGCTAAGCCATAGTATTTTGTTAATTTTTTATAAGAATATCAGTAAGTTTCCCCTTGCCTCCGAGTTTAGCAGTTTTTTCTTAATTTCGTAGTCGACTGCCCATGCGTTTCTCGACATGGCCCACGCATTCGTTCTTCGTTACTTTCAAATCATCACCTTAAGGTTCTGCATCTAATCAATGGCTTTAAAAGTCTTGGCGTCTCCATCTCCAATATAATTACTGTACCTCACACCATACGTTCCTGAGATTTTTGAAATATTTCGAGCATAGAATCGACTTCCATTTTTTCCGAAGAGCCTCGATGATTTATTGGGCAATTCTTTTTGTGATCTGCATCCGGACCGTTTGAATCTCTGTGTTTAAAGTAGATGCATGCTTGACAATAACTATTTTTAACGATCAGATCTATTACTTTTCCTGAGTGATAAGCTATTAGCGTAGTAATACCAAAGAGAGACGAGACCGCGCTTTTTCCAAGAACCCTCGATGAAAAATTTTTCATGCAAAATTATGTATGAAATTTGTTCATACATAATTATGTATAATTATATAAATTCATATAAAATTATATATAATTATACATAATTATGTATAACAATATGTATAATTACATATATAAATAGAATGTATGAACATGAATGGACAAATTTGATACATAATAATATATAATTATGTATAATTATATAAATTCATATAAAATTATATAAAATTATATAAAATTATATAAAATTATATAAAATTATATAAAATTATATAAAATTATATAAAATTATATAAAATTATATAAAATTATATAAAATTATATATAATTATACATAATTATGTATAACAATATGTATAATTACATATATAAATAGAATGTATGAACATGAATGGACAAATTTGATACATAATAATATATAATTATGTATAATCATATATAATTTTATATAATTTTATATAATTTATAAAAAATAAAAAATTTTTTATTGGGCCGTCACCGCTAACAGTCAAATACACAGAATAGGTCTCTCGTTCTCTTTATTTATTTTTATTTTATCTTGTACAGCGTTTTTGCAGCAAACATCAAAAACTTTCTTAACATACGCGTATAAGTGCTACACTATTCTCTCGTAATCTTTTTTGCTCAATCCTTGTCCAAAGTCCATTATGCCGCAAAAAATGTTTATGCCTTCTCGAGCTACTCCCAGTAATCTCATAGCAAAAACTATTCTTCGATTAATTTCAAAACTATTATGAATAAATAGTCCTGAATCAATGAGTGTAGTGCCACACTTACACTTCACGGATATTTTAAAGCTAAGTCCTCTGTCACCTGAATTCCCGAATGATAAATTACCTTTACACTTTTTGCAAATAGCTATGTCAGAAATAGCAGAAAATACAGAAATAAATTCTATGATTCGGTAACAGAAACTCAAATTTACAACGACGTCAGACACCAACGCTTTTATTTTCTTAGCCGACGCACTTGCTCTGGCGTCGGCGTCGCTTGGCATCCTTATAGAAATATCGTACTAAGAATCATTGATAATTACTTATTATTCAGTATTTTTAATATTAAAAATAAGTAATTATCAATGATTCTTAGTATATTTCTATAAAGACACCTCTTCTTCAGTGTCTTGTATAAATTCACCTGGGGGTCGATTGTGTATCTCGAAACGCAGTGAAAATTACAAAAGTGAACAAATTCACTAGGCATTGACCAATGAAGTTACAAATATTCTAGTAAATTTGCTCATTTTTATCATTTTCACTCTGTTTTGAGATACACAATCGACCC